AAAACTCACTGTTTACAGGCAAGAATGGGACTTTTTATTTTGTGTGTTTAACAGCACTTTGTGTCTAATCAAGCAAGGAAATATAGCAAACCACTTTCAGCTGTAGTAAGTATAACTTGTAACGCTTTCAGATGGAGATGTGACTTTCAAATTGACAGTGTGTCCTTTAAATTAGAATGTATGATCCCTGACTGAGTCTGAGATGTTGTGTAATGTCCCCAAAGATCTTGTGGCTAGATCACTTTTTATTTAAATAAGGACCAGTATTGGCCTCTACATGTTAAACTCAGTGGAAATTACATGCATATCTGAGTGTGTAATTGGATCTTAAATTAGCTTGGGTACTGAATATTCAGACTGTATTTCAGTGTGATGCTCAAGAGTATAGTCTGATTCTCTCCTGCCTTGTACCTTGTATAGTCATGTACTGTATACCCGCACAAGATGCAAGGCAGTGGAGAAGCATGTCATGTCTCCCTTGTATGTGGTAATCCAGTGTTAACTCAAGAGATTCAGAGACAATGGACAGATAATTTAGTGTTATGGAATAATATTGTTAGAGGGCCCCAATGAAGGTCAGCACCCCATTGTGCTAGATACTACAAAATTGTAGTAAGAGAGTTCTTATTCCGGGTAGCTGACTATCTAAATAAATACATTGTGCTCTTCTGTACAGAACACTACCATTGGGCAGGCTCACTTTCTTGTTACTGTAGAAAGATATTAGTCTCTGTTCACATGTTGTTCTGAACATTCTCTAGAAGCCATGAAGATACATAACCAAGCTATGAAGGGTCGGTATGAGGAGCTTTCTGTGTGGCGAGAGAAACAGACCAAGTTCAAAGAAGCTAAACATTGCTTGCAAGCCAAGTGCCTTGAAAACGAAGAGCTGCAGAAACAACTTCAAAGCCTAAAAGAGAAACCGGTAGGGTCTGAAATGGTAGAAAAAACGTGGTCAGAGTTTTATTTTTTAATGTGGGGGAGCATTCATATCACATTATTACATTGTACTTGAATGGTTTTTAATTTTTTAGTTTTGTTTTTAGTTTAAAGGGATTGTATCATAATGGAAATCATTGGTCTGATATTTTTTTCAACAGTAACTGACTTCCAGTAGATTTGAGAATTCAGGCTACAGCTAAGAGAAATAAAACTAAAACTGAACTTCGGATATCACATTCACTTTTCAGTCTTTGCTCTGTTTAGTCGTGTGTTTTGGTTTCACTTTTGATTTTGAGGTTATTTTCCTAGTTGTTGTTTCCTTTTCTTGCTCTAGTTTAGTACTCTTGTGTTTGGGTTTCCAGTGCGACAGGGAAAAGTTTAAATGCCCCCCCCCCCAAAAAAAAACAAAAAAAACCCAGAAACCTTCCCCACTATTTCTATATAACTTGTCCCAAAACATTTCTATTACTATTGGGTCAAATTAATCCCTATTCTGCAGTACCTATCTTTTCAGGAAATCTAAACTGCCTGTCTGCACCCTTCAAGCAATGGGAAAGTTACTTTATAATGGATTGGTTGGAAATAAATTAAAAGGTGGTGCTAGCACATTGGGGAGGAATATTTTTGCTCCCTTCCTATTGATATTCTGCTGTGTGTGTTCTCCCCTGAATGCTGTCCCAGCCCTGTGCAGAGAGTTGGTACAGTAGAACTTGAGCAAATTGCCCAATGACCACAAGATCCATGAAGGTACAAAGGCACCCACTGAGATGTATTGTTTGACTAAGCACTGTATTAGTATCCTACAGACTCTACTGGACCAGTAATACATATGTGCCAGAAACAATGGATACAGCTCAGTCAGTGGTGGGACTTTCCACTGTCTGCTAGGCTGGCCAAAGACAGTCCCTTCAAGACTCCCATTTCATACATAAGTACAAACAAGTTACATGTTGTTCCTCTGACAAAGCCAATTACCACCCGTCACCTTGTACATTATCCATCATACTGTCATCCTGATCGTATCTTTAGGAGGGAGCAGTGTATTCTTGTTATCTTTGGGAAATGTGTTTGTATGGAATGTTCTGGTACTATCCTTTTGGAATGTGTTTGCATATGTATTGTGTGCCTAGCACGTCTTAGGAGTGTATGTTTCTGCAATATCCGGCTGTTCTTGCCAGATTCTGTGAGCCTGGCCTGCCTCTTGCTCACAACTTAATATTGCTGTATAACCGCAAAGTTCTGACTGTTCCTTTAGCCTGGGCCTCAGGTCCTATATCAGGCCTCTGAAACAAAGGCTTATGTTTCAGGCCCTCTTCCTCCCACACTCCCCACACACTACAACTAGTAAAAAGCAAATAGGAAGTCCCCTGGAGCTGCTCAGGACCCTAAGCAATTGCTTAGTCTGTTTATACCTAATGCCAGCTCTGCTCCCTAAGGCAGCCCTCTAGTAGCCTAGCAACATTGACCTGCATGTATTGTCATGAAGGAGGCCTATACTGAAGAAACCTATATATGATTTGTATCTAAGATGTGCATGTGGACATATATTGGCACACTTATTTAAAACTCATACTTCAGGGTTTAAACCAACTATTAGGGATTAGGATGAGAACTTCATGGGGGCAGGTTATCACACTTCTGCCTACTAAGGGGCTTCTTTGAAGTATCTAATTCTAGCCAATGTTATGGGATACTAGTTGTTTATTAGTTTGTATTAAATGGACAACAAATCTGATCCAATCTGGGAGTTTTTGTGTTTATTCAAATTCAAGGCCATCATTTTATTGGCATTCAAACTTTGATGTCCACGTATTCAGTCTTCCACCTGTTCGCTGTCTGAAATATTCTTTTCTGTATTGAGAGAAAGACAGAGACCAGATATGGATGGGAGAGAGAAATCAGTATAAGGTGGAATAAAGGTCAAATCAGAAAGGACAAACACCCTAATTATTTTTATAAGATATCTTCTAGTCAGAAAACCTGGAATGGGAGTTCGAACTCTGTTCTAACATGGGATCTAAGATTCTGATCCTGCAATTAATTCTGTATGGGCAGAAATTAGGGGCTCTTGGAAAGCCCAGGAATTTGTCTGGACCTTGATAAGCCCTAAGGGAAGAAAACTGTTCATTTTTTTAAATTCACAATACGTTAAACTAGTTTCTCAAAACTGCTTCATAAAGTGATGCTGTCAGACCAAATCTTGTGCCAAATGAATTTTTTTTCAGAGCCTGCCATAAAGAGAAATGTTTTTCTTTTAATACTTCTGATTATTTAATTTTATTTTCATCTGAAAACTCTATTCAAAAAACAAACCAACAGCTGACTGCAGGATTTGCAAAGTGAGTCTTGCAGCTTTTGCCAAGGCATTGAAACATCAAAGTTACTAGAGATTCGTTTGTTTTAATTGTCTGACCTAAAAATCAAGTAGTAAAACTAAATTTTTTCAGGGGTGAGAATCTCTTGTGGGGGTCACCTAGGCAAGGACACCTAGGCATGGACAGTGTCACTGGCCAAGACACATTTCCCTTTTCTGGAATTGTCCTGATTGTAACCTAAATTCTTTGCAGAGAGAATGTGAAACAGTCCATTACTGAAGGCGAACTTTAGTTAACTTCCCAGTCTCACTTTGAATTCTATCTTTTTTTACTTTAGCCTTTTCTTAAGTAAGATACGCTGTAGCCCCTTGCTGCTCATTAGGTGACCCCATGTGCTCACATAGTTTCAACCACTGATGAATCAGAGGTATATCCTCTGACCTTCACCAGCAATAAACACCAGCATTCAGAATGGTTTTGAGAGAAAAACTCCTGCACTTCTGCCTTCCTGACAGTAAGGGCCGTGGGTAAAGCTACTTCCCCTCCTAGTTTGAACACTGAATTGGAGGCAACAGGAGGTGGAGGAGAGAGAGCACCGGAGCTGATGTCAACATGGCAAAACTTCAGGAGTTGGGGAAGGTATAGTGGGAGGGAATGCAGGAGTTTGAGGGGGTTGCCCAGAACTCATGATGGCAGTGCTGGAGGCTGCAGGAGGTGGGGTGAAGCTCTCCTGGAATAAGAGGAAAAAAGCTGGGGCAGAGGGAGACCAA